TATTAAAATATAATATTATAATAGTATATTATCAATTTTCAACAATTATTGTTTGTGTGTCGTGTAAACTATTTGTGGGATTTGTATTATTTAATTGCGGAGCACTAGTAGTTGGCGGGGATGGGGGGGGAATTTATAATGACGTGGTTATTGATTCACCTAAATATTAATAGTATTAATCAGGCTTAATCAGTGTAAAATTTATTTTCCATTTTTGTGATGTAATTCTAATTTTATATTATTAATTTGAAAGCAAAGTTATTATACATGGTAATAAAATGTACACTAAAGAATGGTTCAAAATAATAAAATATAAAGGTAAGCGAGAATAATGCAATAGTTGTGCAATTGCCCACACACTCGGTTTGTTACACATTGTAACTTTACATACAACTGTCCCCATACAACTATCATTCCTGCTCTACAAACACCAGTGCCTCTCAAATAAATTTACACAAAAAGTTAGTTTATAACAATAAGTACAACATTATAAAACAATAATTCAGGTATACAATAACAACATGGTTAGTATCATAATAATTACATATTTTTTTATAATGTAAAATAACGTATTTAATTAGTTAACAAACTTCGTCTTTACATATTATGCTCTTGAAATATAATGTTATCAAATCATAAATCCCAGTCATGTAGTTATCATAATAATAATAAACATTTATAACAAAATTACCAATAAAACTAAATTTATTATAGATGATTAATTGTATAATTGTTACAGTAACTATATGAAAGTAATGGAAATATCAACTACATGGTATAAATACGTAGAATAAAAACATAAGGTAACATACAATAATTAGCCCTCTTTCTAATATATTCCTCTTATAGTCATTATTTAAAAAACATTATAAAATTATTTAAAATTCATTTTTAAAATAAAAACTTGTTTATAATAAATAGAAATATGAATTATAAACTGTTTGTAATAATTGTGACGATATGTTTATTCGTTGTGTTATGTTTGGCGGATAACAACACAGATGTGACCAAAATTGGTACAAATAAAGGGCCTGTTTTATACTCACCGATCGCCACAAATTGTGATGATTGTGAAACGAGAGACCATAGAGTTTGCATTAGTAACCAGTGTTACTGTGAGCCAAATTACTACAAAAACACCCTGGGTCGATGCGTATACAAAGCATGTTCATATAATTCGGATTGTATGACAAATGGTGATACCTTCCGAAGTTGTTCGGCATGGGGTGAGTGCTATTGCGATGCGGGCTATTGGCAGGACATGACCAATGGGCGCAAGTGTAAAAAGGATGATGGTACTTACACCTGTTTGAGCACTGATAATAAAATACGTGTGGATAACAAATGTCAGTGTAAAGCAAATTACTATAAGACCAGTGATGATAAATGCGAGTACAAGACATGCACTGCAAACGGCCAGTGTATGGCAAATGACGATACGTATCGTTCGTGTATATCGGGTAAGTGTGTGTGCGATGAGGGCTAT